GGGGGGGGGGGGGAGGCTATCGGCTTGGCGTGCTGGAGAACGCAAGCTCGTCTTCCGCTTGTAATACAAAAGTGTACCGCGTGTTATATTCCCTTTGATCTACGAGAGCGTAGACGAAATATACGTATCTGCCAGATGTCCGAGAGAGGTTGGAATTGGAAATTTGATGTGACAGACGGTGGAAATTTAACTCAAAGGACATTCGGGATTTGAGGAATCTGGAAAGTCGGCGTCGAAGAAGTGGGTATTGGAAATGTACTTCGGAAGACTGAAATTGGATATCGTGAAAGTCCCAAGTCGGCTGAGAACCTGAAAGTCCACTCGCGGGGACTTCTCACGCGACGAACACGCACCGATTCCCAAGCGCGCGCACATTGTTTCGTGACGGGAACCGAATCTCCGGGATCGCGAGGCCGCAGAATTTGAAGAGATTTTAGCGGAGATTCTTCTCCAGTGAGGAGGAAAGAACGAAACCGCTTTCGAGAGGCCTGATAAAAAGTCGCCGCAGGCGAACGAAAATGGGATGTGACGTTTACTCGTCACTTTGATATCGATTGCGAGCTACCCACCGATCCGCACCAAGAGAAATTATACACTGGAAAAGGGATTTGGCAATAAGTACTAAAATTTGGTGGATATTTGCCGACCAAATATTTGTTTAAAATAATTTGCAAATCATCAGCAAAATAATCGAATGGCAATGGCAATTAGTACTTTCAACAAATCGTATTTCTATCCGCATAGTAAATAACAGAGTTTACTGCGACAGTAGAAAATTTGCTGGGCCAACGGATTGTTGATTTTTCGTGTAATAGTATAGTACATAATGGCACATAATGGCACATAGAAAAAAGGAATTTGTTCATATAATACAATTGAAATTTAGTCATCAGACTTGGTTTTTTTACTGCGTGGGAGTTAAAAACTAAGACAACAAAATTAGCCGAATGAACGAAATTTCAATTAAATTATATCACATGGACTAACTAATTTCTAACTGTGCGAGCTAATAATTTTTTCCCGTGCATGTAAGGTTGTCACTGTAAGTGACACTTATTAGAAAACTGATTCTCCTGGCTATAATACTTTCACCATGATGATCATAGTTACAAATAGCACAGATATTTTTCTCTCGGTGTACCTTGATCGCATTTGCGATTTATTCGCGATCAAAGCGACGTGTCGCTTAGACGGACCGTGCGAATTGTCCCAGGTCGCGAGTCGCCGGCGCGCTCGTCGATGCTTATTATTCGTGTATGTAATCGAAGCCAGATTTTCACCGGCCGAGCGCGTAAGAATGGATGTACAATTCGTCGAAACAGCAGCTGTTTATTTATCGTCCCGCGCCCACCACCGTGACTCACATTAAACCGCTTATTACGTACTGTAGACGCGCGCGCGCACTCGGAAATCGCCGATCTACGCGCATCGAAGCGCGCGCGATCGCCCGGTCGCCGCCGGTCGGTTGGAACAAACGGCCGCGCGCGGCCGTCCTACGTCATTGTCAGGACGACGATTTTAGAACTGGCAACGAACTCTCTTCGAACGCAGAAACGAGCGACGCGTAAATTCGGCAAACGAGCGGCTGACGACCGCCGTCCGTTCGCGATCGGGACGGCTCCGATGAACGGCAACTCGTTCGCGCCGACATGATTTGCGCCTTCCGTACGACGGCGTTGCAGAAACGGCCGGTTTCGCACGCCGCGAATTCGCGGCTCACCGGTATTATTATTGTTATTATTATTCGTGCGTCAAATTGACACGCGCGGAAAAACACCAGCCGGCTCGATTAGGGACGATCCACTTCGCGTAGGATCTCGTCCCGAGATTAACGCCAAGAGGGATTATTTATATCAGCGTTAAAGATGTGACAATTCTGACGAGTCTCGCGTTACCGAGTAACGTTTTGCGCGAAGAAAGTAAGCTTCGGCCTCGGGGGGTGGCTATTTGCAACCTTGCTTGAAGACATACAAGCAAATTGACCGATCACCGTCGTTTATTCATGGAACGTAAGAAGAATAATCGACTGTAGTTAGTCAATTAGCTTACTTACTTTACGGCTATCGCAAGACGGTCCTTAAGCCACTTTTAGAGGCATTCTTATCAATATAAGAAAATTCGGAATATTGGCCAAAGGCATAAAACACCGTCTTGAACCGGTAAGTCAACCATTCTGCTGAAGTCCTAAAGCGTGTAACATCGGAAGTAAGCGAAATGGATGATTCGCCTTTCCTACTTCCTATTGCCTTACTATCAGTCAATACTCCACTCGTTACTTATTACTGCTTACTCCCAATGGAGACGGTCCTTTGCTCCCGACAGTTTTACCACCTCCATTGTAAATTTTATCCTTTATCGCTGATGCTCGTCACGAACATCCGGACTTCTCGGAGACAACGGATAGCTCTGTGCATCGAAACGCAGNGGGGGGGGGGGGGGGGATATTGTTCGCATACCGATGAAAATTGCAAAATTCTTGGCTTGAGTTCGCGGCCGAATGATGTTCCGCTGAATTAACGAACGGGCTCGTTAAGTGTGAATTACGAGTGCTCCATCAGCACCCGGTGTCGAACCGGCCGGAGAATTTCCCGAGTAGCAAAGAGCGGATCAACGAGTAATAATCGCGAAAATTAGCCGGTCTCGCGGGAGAAAGGGATCGCATTGTCGAATGCGCGAGATCGAGGGATCGCGTGATGAAGTTGGCGATCGGCCGTCTTTGTGGACTCGCGAGGTCGATTCTGCAGCGGTGCTTTCGTTAAAACGGCCCGGCTAAATTGCAGCCTCTCCACTTTGTCGCGGCACGTGACGGCAATAATTTCACCGGCGATCTGCTGCCGTGAAAGCGGCGATCTGTTTCCGCCACGGCGGTTGATGAAGACACCGACTCGCCGAACACCCTGTTGCAACAGAACCGAAGAAATTTAATCCCTCGCGCGAGCGCGCTGGCTAATTCGGTGCGCGGCACGTGTTTTCCGCCACCCCCTCCGCCGCGATTTGCGATATCGAATTCGGTGGTGTTTACGTCGCGGATTACCCCGAGTCGACATTTTTATTCATCTCTATTTATTTATACAGGAATTATTCCTTCGGTATAAACCGAACGCATAATTTGTCGGGGGAGAAATATTTAACTATAATAACAATAAGAATACGTGAACAAAGAGGAGGAAATTTTACGCTACTTTGACGCACTTAAAAACAGCCAAAATTCAAGGTTTAACGTAGGGCCGGGATTTCAACCCGGGATACAACATTGCGATCAAGCGCAGGGCGCGCCGCGCGACGCGAACGTATAAATATCCGCGATGCGTGTATTTTCGGACGGCGCGAAAAGGCTAGATCGGCTTAAATCATTCGCGACATCGTCGTGACTCCTGTTATCGCGTTATCAAGGTCCCGGACTTTACAACGCTCGTGGACAATTCCGGGGGAGCAACCTTGAAGTGTACGTCCGCTCGCGTATTTCCAGACCGCTCCAGCGTGTCGAGTCGCTCGTCCAAGGCGACCTGCGCAATAATACCCCGCGAATGATCTACGATCTGTTCGATAATCGGAACAGACACGCCGCGCTGCGATCGTGCTGTCGTTCCGACCTCGGCGCTATTTTAAAAGTACGACGGTGTAAACCGTTCGATCGTTTCTATCCTTGCAGCGGCGGCGCCGACGGGAGTAACGATTTATCGAACAAGTGGCCGAACCGACGTGCTACTTTTAAGTCGCGGATGTTGGTGCCGCGCGCGCGCGCGCGACTCCAGGCTTATATAAATACATAGGAAAATCGACGCGTGCCGATTATGAAACGCACCGCGGCGCGAACGAGGAAATACGAATGCATCGATGGCAGTGCGAACGAGTGAATATAACGCGAAAGTAAAGTCGCCCCGAATGGAGGAAACGCACGCGCTCCTCCGCGAAAAGTTGAATGCACGAGAAGCCGGGATTCCGCGCTCGGCCCGAATGAATGCCTCCAGCAGCCGTGTGCTCGCGATTCGCGCAATTATATTCTCGTCGGTAACGTTTATTAACGATAAAAAATCCCGGCGATATATATATATATATATATATATATTGTATGCGCGAAGAAGCGGGCGGACGTTTTAAACGCTGAAAGCTGGAGAAAAGGGGAGGGGAGGGAGAATTTCCCTCCGCGTGGCAGCTGTCGCGCATAACGCCGGCGGATCATTCGGCGCCGCCGAATGGAACGGGAATCAATTTAACGGCGAGCGTCGCAACTTCTTGGAGACGTTTGGTCAGTGCAATTAACATCCGAAACCGGGGACTTCACGTCTCGCCGCCGTTGGCTCGTTCTTTCGACGCGACGTCCTACCCCCCTCCCCCCCGTTCGAGGTTTATAGCGAGCAGCTTTTTATACACCGGATGTATCAAAGAAACATTCTGAAATACCGCGTGCATTAATAGTTGCAAGCACAATAAATATATCCAAGTCGGAATTCTGATTCTACCCTCGACGCTCTTGAGGATAGTCTGCGTCTATTTGGGTGATCTATAGAATGGTAAAAATCGACGTTTGCAACATTACCTTCTCTCTCTTAAATCTTTAATTCTACAGATTTAATGCTAACGCTATCTGGAAACTATAAATGCTTACGATATTCCGATTATTAAATTTATATATATGAATAATAATAATCGATGAATGAAATGAAATATATGAATTTAATAATCGAAATGCTGTGCGAAAAACCGAGAAAATTGGCATTTAAATTATATATTCTCACGACAATTTTTATGTAGGCGCGTGATACATTGTAGTAGATTCGCGCCGCGAACTTCACGTCTCGCGCTCGCCTCAAGGGCGCGGCGGCGCAACGTTGTCGGCG